ATTGACCAAAACTTACGCAAACTTGCCGAAACCGCAGGATTTGCAGACATCTATACGCAAGACTATAGCGGATATTTTAAAGACATTAAAGATTATATATATCTAAACGGTGAAAAATACCGTCCCCAAGATATATCACCTATCAATATTTTTAGCTTCGTTACACTCAAGAATGAAATTCTTGATTTTCTAGGATGGCCCTACTACATCTTAGAAAAACTAACTATTTTATACGCAATGTTTAACTTTATTGGATTTCTTTTTTCACTCTTAAAAGGAATCTATAACACATGTGCTATACACACACAAGTCAATCGACAAGCAAGTGTAGCACGCATACTATTTGCAGGATTTTTTGGAATATTTTCTACATCTATAAACAAAATTCTTTTAGACGCACAAATAAAAGAATATAACACAAAAATAGCAACAAGACAGAACACATATGACGAAGAACATAACAATGCAGACACAACACCAACAGCACCACAGTTACCACCCCTACCACATAACCATCCATTATCCCTAGTCCCACGTAATTTTCGAAATTTAGCCGTAACACATAATAATTTTAGACCAACCATATCACAAAGTCCCATCCAACATATAATGCCACACCACTCACAAGATGAAAATACTTATGAACAAATTATAGAACAACCCCATACCACCGCTTTTCAGTCTCAAAATAATAATTTTTTTAGCCCACGATGAGCCGACAACTTGGATCCCTACACCGATCAAATTCCCACCCAACCAACCTCACCACTCCAATCCCAATAATACCACTTTTTGCTTTTCCGCCACCCGATTTCCCATCCAGTAATGTAACATCCGGCATGAATTCCGATACTAACTCACACATCTCAGTTTTATACTCCATCTCACAACTCAATAACCCGAATATTGAAACCCCCGATGAATTTGCCGACTCCGAACCATCTCCATCAAATAATTTTCACACCAATCCCTTAAATTTCTCCCAACCCCCTTTTCAACCCATACTACCAAATAACCCTGACCCAACCAATTCTACACCCTCTTATGCTTCCCAAGTCACTCCAACCTACTCCTCACTTCACTCAAACCAATCATCTCATTCTTCAGACACCCCCCGAATCTCCCCAGAACTAGATAATTTCATTACCTTACAACAACAATCCTATCACCTTGACACCCCAACCATAAACCAAATCTCATCCACAATAGATTCATCCAACCCTCCTACCCCTACACCCTCTTCAATTTATACTGATTCATTAGCACCATCATCCACAACTACTGTATCTTCACTCAGCACTAATAGAGCTTACCGCACTTTTAAAAGGAAGTTCCCCAACCATCCTTTCCCAGCGAAACCAGGAACAGCCCGTGAATACATCAACCATCCACAACACACTAACACAAAAGAATTTTTAGCTATCACCTTACCCTCATTTCCACAATACACCTTAAACACACCTCATGACACTAACGAGACACGTAACTTTGTAGACGAATACGTTTTAATGCCTACCCTTCCTTGGACCTCATATTATCATTTTACAAATCCCCTTTGCTTACCTTTATCTAACACTCATATCGATATAGAACGAAAAATGGACATGCTATATCGACTCACTACACCACTAACACCTAGACAATTTACTTACATTGGATACAAAAAATCACTAAAAACACACACTGCACCCCGAGCTAATGAATATACACTAGAATATTACGACCATAACATCATCAGAACTAACCAAGATCAATTCTTAGACGACGATCGCTTCGCTAACCCACAAATCACCGAGAAATTTTTCATTAAAACACCATATGTATTTACACTAAATATCTTCGATCGCAAGTTTGACCACATTATCTCAGAAGCACTAACAGACACGCAAGCCTACGAAAGTTTTAAAGAACGCTTCCAAATATTTTCACTAACCTTTCATTTCCTTGCACCACATGAAAGAGATTTGCACTGCTCACACGATATTATGTTGCGCACTAAACAAACACACACATATACTTATTATCGTTTCATCCAAAATCACTTTGACCTACACACTCCCTCCAGACAACCACACCATCGTTTTCAATTCATCAATTCCAAATACACCTCACCATTCTTTCTTAACTTCACATATTGCATTAAAGATACTAACCTTCATGGTATTCTTCGAAATTATGATCCCATAACCCAAATGTATATCTTTTGTCCCATCACCAAGACCTTCAACGCAGAAGAATCCCGACCCTTCCTCATCCCACACGAGTTTGTACAACCTATAGAAATCCCCATTTTAGAATTCATCCATAACACTAAATTCAACCACAAATTATATAATCTAATCCAAAACACACCTTATGAATTTGCAGTTGGCACTGAAGAACTAACCACAATTAAGGCACTTCAATTGCTTTGGCCACTGCTTCAAACTAAAAATATCATCCGCATATTAGCCAAACTACTAACAACTTCAGATCTCATTCACGACATTTTCCCCCACGGTTTCTTCCCCGACGACTAACAGGTAAGTATGAATTATACATATTACTAATTAATTCAAACATTAGAAACTCACCATTCTTTATCCATGTTTTCTTTAAAATTTTAGCCTTCATCCAACGATCATCTGAAAAATTCACAAAAGAAAAATAAAAAATAGCAAACTTCTTCAAAACTGTTTAAAACCCTATTAACTTTTTACACCAACAATTAAATAAATATAATACCAATGCAGTAAATTAATTTATAAATTTTTCCCCCACCAGCAGTAAATCTAATAATGATGAAAATTTGTAACTTAATTTCCCCCAACAACTAGCAGTAAAATTAAAATTCTATGTAGTAAATTCATAAGAAGCAAAAGCAGTACTAACCTTTTGATATTTTCATTCACTCGCATAAGAATTCTATCCACACTCACACAGCTCGCCCACGAAGAATTGTTTAAAATAATGAATTTCAGTTTCAAGCTTTCACACTCGATAACTCTAACACAAGATAACACGTTTCAAACTTTCCTTTAACCCGGTTGGAAAGGAATTATATACTAAACAAAACTAACCAATGCAGCTTACTAAACACCACAACACATAGCATAACAGCATGACTAAGAAAAGGAAACCAACGGTACCCAAACCGGATTAACCCAGTTTAAAACTGGATAAATTATTCTTTTGAAGACTATTATAAAGTCTAAGAAAGAAATAATAAAACACAAAAAAGTCGAAAGACAAACCCATACCACAAACAATTTGATTTTTGAAAAAAGGACACAACCAACAAAACATAAGAAAAACCACAACAAACCCAACATAAAACGTTGTCACATAACAGGACCTCTCACAAAAACCGCATGCAATCATACTCCCACTCCTGGCCTAACCCACCAGGAAGGACGTCCTGAGCATGCTCTATAGCCGGCCTAACCCACCGTGCTACATCCACGCTTTGTGACCACACTCCTATTTTTAATAAGAGCTACTCAAGGGTGAGTAACTCTTCAAAATAACTGAACTAAAACAAAAAGCTTTTGTGAAAACAACTAACTAAAATCATAATTAAAAAATATTAAACTAATAAAAGTTTTATAAAATGTAAATTACAATATGCAATACATAGATCAGAATACAACACCAAGGACGAACATCCAAAGACAAAACGACCCTACTACACTCGAGAAAGAATGGCCAACTACAATCAATATGCCGCCCACAATCACAACTCAAAGGATTTAGAGTACGACTTGACTTCGCAGAAAAGGACTTCATTGAACTAGACCAATGACCACCTCGATGTTCAAGTATACGTACAGATCCGAGTAACCAGGCATCCCCACCACGCACAATCTCCACGCCATTCCCAGACAAGGTCAAACACAAAGAAGTTCTCACCAATGAAACAGAAAAACCTGACATAGCCAACCATTCTGAAATCAGATTTGAGTTTGTTGCGAAAACCCAGTCGTTGTCTTGAGAAGACACAATGATTGAATCTGGGACTTCTCTAATAAGAAAACCCAGAAGAAATAAGATGTTCGCCAAATACCAACGTCCATCATCCATCTTTCGAATTGCAGAAAAACTATTCTAAAAAACTCTGTAAAACCCGGATGGGTGGAACCTGATCTAAACTACATTTTATGATTGGATAAATTAGATATTTTACCAATGTAAAGTATTTAATATTAACCAATCATGATCCATCTAACTAACAATCCACTTATTTGTAAGTGCTGAAATTACTTGTAATTTCAGCACCAGAGAGATTTGAATTTAACTTAGAAATTAGTTGAACTCTCCCGAGTACTTCAGCAACCGCAATAAACCAGTATACCCTAGATCTATTGAGCCTAGCAGAGACTAGTTAAACAACCTGAGACTAGATAGTATAAGAGTAAGATTAGGATCGGTATTAGACTAAGAAGTTGCACGAATCTATCCGGCCGAAAATAAGATAGCGTGACGAGCAGACGGTGTACCCTATCCGAAATTACTCTATGAGTTATACACTTCGGTCCTAACTCATTATTATCAGAGTTTTGGAAAGTATTTCAAGACGTGTTTAAATTTTGTTTTCCTGAAAATGGGCAGGGGGAGGGTACTTCTTATACCTTCTGAATTATAGATCTATTCTCCTGCAATTGTTCGGAGGGTGTGTATGGACACACCTCATCAAATTGAATCATCGGTAGTTTCAGGAGCTGTCAAATTAAAAATGGATAGCATATGTCTGAACATGTCAGAGATAATTTCAAAATTGGTGCGATTTTCTCTCTTCTTATCGAAATCTTATGATTATTAAGCAGTGAGCTTAAGTAACAATTTAACTTGGACTTCTAGAATGTATTTGATGGCGAAAAAGAACCGCAAGTTGAGTTCTTGATCTTTATTTGTGAATGAAAATTGTCAGCTGGCAAAATACAACTTACGCAAGAAAGTTAACCTGGGTCACAGAGATCAACTTTGAGCTCTATCTTATCAGGCCAAGGTCAAACTCCGTAAGCACGTGTCGCGCATAAGTAATTTCATTCAATTTGTAATCGCTGCTTAATTAGAGTTACTGCATGAAGAAATTTGTAACGATCGCCAAGGACAACTTGATCTGATTTTTGAACTCTTCTGTTTTTTCTTCGGTCTTCGGATTGATTCGCTATATGGCTAGTCTCATACCAGCACTTGCGTTGCCAACAGCAACCAATGCTCAAGCTCACTCCCGCACCCCAGTCCCTTTTTTCTTTGCTGGAATCGAAGGGTGAGTCATTTGCCATACAGATTTTGTTTACCGACGTTTTGGCCCAATAACAAGGCACTATCTAATATATTGACACTTTTCGCGCGATAGTTTTAGCAAACAAAAGCTTATCTTTGAAATAAAAAACTTTCAAAATAACTTTAAAAAGACATTTATTTAACATGAAACTGTTAGCGGCCTTAGACGTTGTGCAGATTGGGTTTTCTCAGTTATATCCACCCCCTCTGCGTTTGATAGTAACATTGATTCAAATTTTGCTACAAAACTTTCAATTGAAATTTTTTTTCATAAGTTTTCTCATAAAGTTGCCCAAATATGGGTTCAATTGTGCTCTGCATTGTCTTTTATATCGCTTTCTAAAACAAATTTAAAGTTTGACTCAATGCTTTGGCTTTTTTCCTCCCCCAATAACAAGCATTAATTTTATGGTATAACGAGTAGTTTTACAAGGTTGATTGTGAAGACCAAATATGTTTGTCATTAATTTAGTTATCCGCATGTCAAATTTCATAACTATCAGACAATGTGAACCAAAATTTAACTTGTAACAATTTGCAGACGAGGAAGGAAAAAGAGCCAATGCTTTGAGTAACAGCCCTAATAGCAACTACGATTGCCCCAATTGGTTCGCTTCAATTTCACACTTTCGATAATTCGAGCTCAAAAATATACATTTATGGGGATATAATCGAAAAGATCCTCCAGTTTACATTTTTTGGCTCAATTTTTTTCAAACCAGATGTGCACTTTTTCTCTGCTTTCTTTATATTTATTGTCTAACCCTATCAAACAAGGTATCGAGTGATGCATCAAATTGGATAAAACACAGCATATTAAATGGCTTTACACAATCAAAAATACCTGTGCTGAAAAATCGTGTGAAAAAATTCAAATTTGCTCCAGTGCTAATTGATTGAATTTCATAGATTTAATGATTTTCATAAGTTTGAATGAGTACTCGGTACTAACTCAATTGCTGAGTAAAACCTGATTGAGACAAGACTGCTCGTATACCAGGGGTAAGCCCTGAATGTTCCAACTGCTCATTAAACATTGTCGAATAGTTTTTTTGGGAAAATAAAACTTTGAAAACTATAGTTTTGGACAATATCAAAGATCAACAAAAAAACAGAAGGAATCAAAGCAAATAACTAGCAACCTGACGCATTGAATGGGTTAGGTTTTTTCAATAAGCCACCAATCAGGGGCGGATCTAAGATTCTCTCGGGGGGGGGGGGGGTTTGGTGCTGGAGCGGATTTTCAAAAAAGTTTCAAAAATTTTGTCAACCTTTTCTTAAGTCGACCAAGTTGATTTTACTAGTTCTCCCATAGAACGAAAAAGACCGGGCGTTGTCAAAAACTCTGCGGCGCAAGAAAAATTTTGAAAAAAAAGGTAAAAAAGCGTTTTTAGGCACATTTAGGAAAATTTTGACGACGCGCGCTTGGCTTTTTTTTTCGGCGCGCGCTTCCCTCTCAAATTTAGTTTGCGCCTTTAGAAAGCACATTTAGAAAATTTTTTGGGTCCGTCAGCCAAAAATGTATCTCAAAATAGTACAAAGAGGGGATTTTCGCCCTTTTTACCAAAAATTGAAAATTAAGATGAAATCTATTTTTTTAAGCCAAACTGAAAGAGCGTCATTATCAGTGTTTGGGTAATATTTTAAGAAATGCGACCTAAACATGTCATATTCTGAATCATAAATCTCTTCTCCGTTAACTGTTTGGAACTTTTCAAACTGAAACTTCTGGTTTCTCAGGAGCTGTCAACCTAAAAATGGGTGAAATGATTCAACTTGTCAAAGATATATCCAAATTTTGTACAATATCTTTTTGAATTTGATTTCAGGGTGTCAATATCTTAAATGAGGCATGAAAAAATTCTGTTAAAAACTATTGTTTTAATCGCCAGAAAATAACTGAATAAAAAAAGCACACCAAGCGTAAATACCCCATTTTCTTCGCAAGTTGGAACAAAAAAAGTCGCGTTCTTTTTCAATTGGACGATTGTCTTTTCCAAGTATGTCGGCTTAGGATGATGCTAGCTCAAAGTATGTACTAGATTTCAACAATCAATCTGCACTAACTGAAACTATGACTCAAGCCAGTGTCGAAATAGGGTAATTTTACACCGTTCATAAGGTTAGATGGTTCAGTTCTGATAAATTTTTAATTGATTGTTCTAATTAAACTGCTGATTAAAAACTTCGCATTTTTAGAAAACTCTTAGTCATTCTAGTTTTTCGAACTGTTTTTGGTGTTTGGATTTTTATTGAGAAAAAAGTCGCATTTTTATTTCGTATTAATGGTTCTCTATTGCGAATACTTCAGCTTAGTTTTTAGTTTGTCTTTCGGAATGCCTTATCTCAATTATCTGAGCTAGCGTTGTTTTTTGAGCCTATGATCACTCGGTAATCAACTTCTTGCCGAATTCCGATTAAAAATCGTTGCTTGGTGTGGATTTTTTGACAACTTGGTTTTTTTGGCTAACATTTTGGAAAGGATTATTTTCATAACATTTGAGGTAAGCCAAGTTCTTTGAGGTAACATTTGAATTTTGCTCAATCTAGATTTTTGTCATTTTGATTTTTGTTCTGATTTTTTCTTTTCTCTCTTTCGTAAAAAAAACTAACGATTGTAGACTCTTGAAACAAATTTTTACTCTTTTTGAAATTTTGAAAGGAAAACAATATTTGTAGTTCTGTAACTTAAATTTCACTGTTTTTCGAACAATTTTCAATATTTTCAAAATTAATTTTCTTAAAATGATCAGAAAACTATTAATCGGAAAGATATAAGTTTTCTGATGTAAGATGTTTCTTTCTTTTTTTTTCAAAATACTTTTGGAATGTTTCTGGTCGTATGGTTTTTTCTCCAGATATTTTTTATATTCAAACAAATATAGACCGCAGATTAATGATTTAAATATCTGAAATGCATCAGTAACGAGGCATATGTTGCAATGTGTTGCAACTTTATAATACTTCATATTGTAAAAAATGATAGGGGAATTGATACTTTATTTAACTAATTTTTGACTAAATCTTTTTGACTATTTTTTAAGCTTAGTTATACTACCTCAATCCTTTCCACGAAACAAAAACTTTAAAAAATTGAAACAACTTCATCAAGTTTTTTGTTTGTTTTCAGCAAAGAGCAGCGTTCGGAGCTTTATCTGTTATTTACTTTAATTCTTAAAATTCAGGTAATAAAGTGTCGCTTTAAAATGCCGTTTTTCTTTTTGAACCCCTTTTTTGTTTTATTTTTTAGTCTAAAAAAGGACGATTAAATCAGGTCAAGATTGAAACTATTTGTTGTATATTGTTTATTCAACCTTGGATCATTTTATCCAGGATTGACCAAAACTGCTAATGATACAAGTTACATCCAAATCCAAACACCAAAAACAGAATGACTAAGAGTTTTCCATTGTTTTTTATTAGCAGATTTCCAAAAAAAAAAATTCTTTGTAGTTCGTTTAAAATTTCATGCTTGCCCTTAAGCACAACAACCAATAATTTTCTCAAATCAGAGAACCCATAGCTTGCAAATTAAACTATGTATTGAGTTACGTCAAGTACATTGAACCAGGGGCGGATTTTCTCGAGGGGAAGGCGGATTTTCAAAAAGTTTTCAAAATTTTTGTCGACTTTTTTTAGGTCGACCAAATTGATTTTTTGAGCTCTCCCAAAGCACTGTTTTAGTCAAAAATTTTGGGGTCCGTCAGCCAAAAATGGATATCTAAAAATAGTACAAAAGGGGGACCCTTTGGGTCTGCAGGTGGTCGGATCCCTGAGGGGAAGGCGTCCGCCCCTGGGTTGAATCCCTGAAGAGAGCGTCCCCCCCTAAATCTGCCCCTGCATTAAACTACTTTGTTTCTAAAAAATTATAAGAAAAAACTCCGTTTTATATTTGACTAAAAAGCATCTATTTCGAAAAATATAACTAATGAAAAATTTGGCCTGCTTTTTGGGCAGATCTAGATTCTTTTTATCCTTTTTGCCGTTTTGCTGTAGGGGAACTACTTCGTCGACAATTGCAGTGTTAGACCATAAAGGATCTGTGGTGACAACGGTCAACGGACCACACACAAACCCATGGGTGAGTCGCACAAGCAGGGCATATCAAAATACTATTGCAATATTATTGCTTTCTGAATTTTTTGGCAATAAAATATTGTTTTTTTTTCACATTTGCAATATGATATTGCAATATATTGCAATACTTCCGAGAAGAAAAATGCAAGAAACAATGAATTGGAAACAACTATCAAAGATTATTTTTGTCAACACATTCTTTCACGGTATTAATGTCCCAAAATTTATGATTGTAATGAAGAAAAAGTTGCATTTCCAGATTAGCAGGCAGCATACCTTTCCGATAATCATTATAAGCATAAATGGCAGCTATAAATGGCAGGATTATTACGTGCATTTAACCTAAGCGCTGCTTTCTTAATCAATTTAAGTATTGCAAAATATTGCAATATATTGCAGGATAAATATCAATATACTGCTTATGATAATTGTTCAAAATAGAATATTGCAATATACATATTGCAATATATTGCAATAGCAATAGTATTTTGATATGCCCTGCGCACAAGACCAGCAAAAATCGCTTGATTAGTCAATAGTTTCAGCATTCTTACTCCTAAATTCCCACCATTATTAAAAACTTAACCGTTAACTTGAAAAATACATCAAAAAACTTTAAATATAAAAACAAGTCTGAAGATAGGTCTGGATCTTGAAAATCAGATCTGAGATTGTTGAATCATTTCAATACTGGCTCGCTTAGACAATCAGTTATCACACATCACCAGTGCTAATAACTACAAATTCGATTGATCAACTTGACTGAAAACAGCTTATAAGATTGCGAAGATGGCTATTAAATTTTCTATCTTTCAAGGCTCGCAATCAAAGCTTTAACGGTTCGTGCTTCTCCAAAAGCTTTAACGGTCGGTGTTCCTCCCAAAGCTTTAATGGTCCGTGCTTCTCCCAAAACTCTAATGGTCCGTGTTTCTCCGAAAGCATTAATGGTCCGTGTTCTTCCAAAAACATTAATGGTCCGTGTTTCTCCAAAAGCTCTAATGGTCCGTGTTCTATGCTAAGAGTGAATGCCAAACAAATCCAATGCCAAATTATAAGACATACACTAGTGGACAAAATTAAGCGCAAATTCAGCTGAAATTTAAAGTAAATGCTGTCAAAAAGAGACATTAAAAAGGTCATTTTAGATAGTAGAAAGTGAGTTTGCGCTCAATTGTGTCTACTAGAAGACTACACAATGACTTTCATTTGTTTTTTTTTGCATCAACAACTCGCTTCTTGATTCTACAAGCTTGACGTAGAACTTGTACGAAAATTGTATGACAAGCATTTTCCATAGATTTGATGTATGGAATTGTATGATAAGACTTTTCGGTGTATGGAGGTCAACCCGGGTTACTGATTTTAGCTGCTGGGCATAGACACTACTCTGGAACGCATCCACCATCTGGTGGTGGAGGCCAAACAGAAGGCGATGATCGATGATGCAATCCCCTTCCGCACTCTGGTAAATCAAGACTGATCCGACTCGGGGCGATATCAACGTCAGAACAATTTTTATTGAACCGTTTCAACAGCATTTAAAAAAATAAACAATTTTTGTAACAATATTTGAAGCTGTTGTCACCAGAAGCAAAGTCAAGTTCAAAATGAACTTTTTTTCATCTACTCACACATTATTTGGGTCAACTATCATGCCTCATTTCATTTTGAAATTTTTATGCCGGATTATACTTTGCCTCATACGCTACAAGTTAAAGAAAAATTGAAAAAGTTGCGCGCGATTATTATCAGATGTCAGCCAAATTTGCAATTTCTAAGCATTTTTTACTTCATGAACCTCTCAACTTAAAATGATTACTAGACCAAACTGTGTGTGTGTTTTGTAAATTGTAAGCGGATTCCGTAATAAGACCTTTATCTATGATTTCTGTCTGATCTTGTGTTTTTCATCATGCCATCAAAATTCAAACAGGTTTAAAGACTGGTCTTATGATTCCAGTGTCCTACACACACCGAATTTTTCAGTTAGCCATTTAAATATCTCGAAATTTGTCGTAAAACTAATAATATTCAGAGCAAATTTTAAAAAAAATCTGGTGATTATTTGTCTCAAAGAAAATTGAGGCAACATCTGACAGATTTTTATCAACAAATTAAGCACCTATAAATAAAAAAATGAACTAGAGTTCATCAGTTTTTGATCTAAAACATTTGCACGATAAAATTTGTTGATTAAGGATTTCAAAAACTTTCCTGAGCGGAAAATTTAGAAAATACCATTGATCAACAGATATTAAGGACAGTCAATGAAAACCTTATTGGAACCAAATAAAGATTTGGGAGTAAAGCGAAAGAAAAATCGAGGTGTCTTCAATTGAGGTTTTGCAAAAATTTCTGATAATTCTCAGTTTCAAGGAACTTCAGGCAAGGAAACGTAATAAATTGTGAATAATTTCGTTGATTCTTTCTATCATTTGCAGCATAATTTGATTGATTGTTTAAAAAAAATTTTCGAACTGATAGTCATAACAAACACTTTGATTCTTTTAAAAATCTCTGTTTCGAAGAATATTTTTAAGCCTTGCTATACAGACCAATGCAAAAGTTTTATGCCAAGAGGAAGCGTGGCCTGGAATTATTTACAATACTGCGCAAGGGTAGCGTTGCAAGCTGGCGAACAAAAAAAGAGAAAAAATAAGTAACCAAGAAACATGAGACACTATTGTGAAAAAAGGGCATTTCATTCAAGAAAAAAACCGCTGACCTCTCAATATAGACACAGAGAGGGAAAAAATTAGGAAAGTGGAAATCAGACACCGAACAAACCACACCAGATGTACTAATTTTCACCATAAGCAATTCAATTTCAATAAATGGGCCATAAGTTTTATCGAAGTATTGAATACCTAAAAAAATTTTGGAGATACCTATCTCTAACAACGTAATCAGAATTGATTACTGTTTTGTTGGTTTTTCCTGAAAAAAAAACAGCTATATACTATATGCACAAAAACCCAATTTCAGAGCAAGCTTTATTTTGTACTCTTCAACTTGCCACCTTTCGCCATTACAAAAACCCCATTTTCTCCTGCTTACTTGTTGATCAAAAGTCAAAATCAGAAACAAATTGATGGCCCTATATGACGACTTGTTTTAAACAAAAAAAGTGTTTTCGTAAACCATTCTAGTCTTTCTAATAACTATTCTAAAGTTATTCTGAAGGTTTGTTATACTGTGAAAAACAAACACTGCTATGATGTTCGTAACGTTGTTTCGCTAAATATTTTTTTCTGAAATGTAAAAAAAAATTTTTCTAGAAATCTTAAAGATCTAAAGATTCTTCAACAAATCATTAAGAATCTTGAAGATCTTTTCAAGACTAAACCAAAAAAGTTGTCGCACACTTTTATGCAATTTTACTCAAGGAGTTTGAAATCCTAGGTACTTTAGAAAAAGCCGTAATTAATTTGAGGTACATTTGCTGTTTTTGATAAATCTTCAAGATACTTCAAGAATTCGGCAAAAATTTCAAGGTACTTGGACTTGGGTAGTCTAGAAGATGTCTTCCATGCCTTTTTTCAAGTTTTGCAGAAAGTAACAGACTATAGGGGTAGATTCGTCTCTACCCAAACACCATCTCTGCAAAAAAACATCATATCTGATTTTGACACGTTTTTCATTTATTTTGACGTATTGAAAAGGGCTTGAAATACAGAAATATTGTCTTTTGTTCCAAATTTTGTTGTGTTTTGGGAGTTAAGAAAAAACAAAAAAAAACAAAAAAACCAATTGGCATTCAAAAATATCTGCAATATTTTTGAAATGTAAACTTAAAAATGATTTGTTTTGAAATTTTCATCATTTCAATCAGGAAAAAGTAATTCAGACCCGTTTAAAAGCAGTCGTAGCAGTACTTCCATCGAATTTTAAAACATCCGAAAACATTAATGCTATTTAAGGGAGAAGGAAAAGATCAGTTTGGAAACAACAGACCAGTTTTACTTCATCCTGTAATCAGTAGCGTTCTTGAAACTTTGAAATCTAACAGAATGACTAAATTTATTTAAAAATCATATGATTTGACGTCTCATCGTATTTGATAACAAGGACAAAAAGACACTGGACGCAAATTTGGTAGATGTCATTGATAACATTGCAAAAAAATATATCCACCAAAAATGACATTGTTTGTACTTTAATCAATTTGTCGAAAAAATTTGACACTGTTGGTCACTCAATTCTTCTGGCAAAATGCTACTGCTATGATTTTTGACACCCACTTTATAGCATTCTGAAGTCATACTTTGAAAACATACCAGTATGTCATTATTGAAAAACAGGTATCTGAAAAGCTTTTGATAGTAATTTGGATGCCCCTATGACTCGTATTAGGCCACTTTTTGTTATTCCTTGTAAGCTATCTTCACGAACTATGTACCAACTACAAAAAAATATTTTCGCCATTGACAACGCGTTTCATGATGAATAGAAATCAACAACTTACAGTAAATGAAGTTGAAAAAAAAGTCTTCCCATTTCTAGTCAAATTAAAACTGGGAAATGAAATTAAATGTCAAAATATCAGAGCTAAAATCGAAATGAAATATTTTAGTTTTAGTTATACAGCACCCTCAAATACAATCACAAATGCATCAGTTGGTTCATAGGTTGTCAATGCTCTCAGGTAAAACTTTCCATTAAATTGTTTCTGGGTCAAAAATGTCTTTATAAAAAATATAAAGCTTAAATTCAACTAGTTGTTTTGCAAAGCGTAGTGCTCTCATATGATCTAGCAAATGACACTTTTAAAAAAATGTTGACAAAGCGCAAAAACAAAACAAGTTTTTTTTTAAATTGAAACAAAACGGACACTCTGCGAATCGTCAAAACCAAATACAAACTATTTACTTTTTAAAGAACTATATATTTGAGTTGATGAAGAATTTAGTAAAAGTAAGTAGAAAAATACACTCTTTTAACTGTTGCATTCAGGGAGATGAACTTAAATACAGTTTTTTTTTTTTTTTTTGGGGGGGGGGGGGTAAATAAGAACTAAAGACTTAATACAAAGACAAAAGTCTATGCTTATCAATATAGATCAATTAGGTAAAGAATTATAAAAGTGTATATGAATATATGAATCTGAATTTTTCGTATTTTTTTTTGTTCAGGGTCTCTCGTTGAGCGGCGGGGAGTGTGCGCAGACGAGGGCAGATATCGAGAAACTGATGATGTCCAGGTACCCTGAGGACTGTGACGAGTGCCACATGTGGACGGACACCTTCGGGGCACTCTCCGCGTCCTCAAGGTCACTTCTTTTTTAAGATCATTTATCCACGAGGGATAGGACCAACATACGAGCTGTACAGCTCATCACGGCGAACCGCTGTTGTGCCCCTGCTTAAGAACTACATGCAATTTTTTTGGTTATTTTTCTGGGCTGTGTAATGTTGCCTCACCCTCAAGCAACGAGCACGGATCATGGTGGGCCTCGACTTTCTTAACTTTTAAACGGCCTTGGAAGAAAGAATAAAAGAATGATTTTTTTTCGCCAAACAAGTGCACACTATATCAACAAAATGAAACAATCATTTTTTACAAATATTTTTTATCAATGACGTTGAGGTTATCGAGAGTATAGCCAAAGGGAGTATTAAACTAAGACTGAAAGACTACCCTCTTCTAGTACAAATCTAAGACTTATTACAATTAACATCAATTTTCATCTGATTAAGATGGAAACTATGTTATTCATTGTTTTTAAACCGAATTATAACAAAAACTATTTTTCAATTAGGATGGAAATAATTGCTCAAAAACCAAAACTCAAGACGTGACCAATAAAATCAGAAACTTTTCGAGTTAATTACGGAATTCCTTTTAAAATATATTTGTAATTTGAACAAATATATTAATATATTTATAAATAGCTGCAATAATTTCTGTTGCAGACATGGAATAGTGACGATTTGTGGGACAGGACAGAATACAATGTTGATGAACCCGGATGGGTCTTGGCATGGGTGTGGGGGGTGGGGACATATACTCGCTGATGAAGCATCAGGTATCTTGGTTCATGATAGAGATTTTGGTGGACTTAACTGAAACTAATTTTCTATGCGGCAAATTCCAACATACAATGTTTGCAACTCGTTGTGGAGAATCGCTACTGAACTTTTGTTGATATTGGATGCATTTGTATTTTTTTATTTGAGTTTTTTTTTAAACAATAAGCAGCTAGCTTCTCCGACATCTTTAGAAAAAATTACATTTTGAATGGTTACCGAAAGTGAGGCCAGTTTAATATGGTTAACCCCATATGATTTGCTGATTTTTGACCAATAAAGAATCAATTGAATCGTTGATCTACTTTTTTCGTGAATAGTTATCAATTCAGAAATATCAGAAATTGGTATAAAGTATGATAGCTGGGCCCAGAAAAAAAAAGCGAGTATGAAAGATGGGTCCCGCAATGTTTGTGAAAACTTCAAAAATCGAGTAAACAATTGCAAACCATGTTTTCGAAGATTTTAAGGCATCAGCATTTTTCTTTAGGGACACATTGTAATTCCGGGACCCAACTATCACACGTGTACCCAGAAATCTTGTAATGTATACATTTTTGACTTGTGTTGTAGCGTATGGAATCGCGTATATGGCGATTAAAACGTGTGTGGACCATGATGACCAGCTTAGACGCACTGACTTTGACCTCACAGTAGTCAGGCGAAAAATACACGAGTACTTCAAGGTACGCAAAACAGGTTCTTTTCCAGTCCCCCCCCCCCCCCCCCGTAAAATTACAAAATAAAGCTGTTCAAAAGTTGTTTACACGGTACTTTGCATTTAAGAAATGTTGTCAAAAATTCGTTCACCTGGTCACGCTGACACGTTTTGATGCAGTTTATAACATGCAACATTATTTGAAATAGAATTTCATATATTGAAATTCAGAAAGAATCAAAGGGGGACTGAAAAAGAGCAACAAAACACCCCCTGGTTTATTCGCTCTCGCTTGATCATGTGTTTCATCATAATTTGTTTTATCGACTCGACTTAGAGACGGTGAGCTTTCGTCCAAAACTCCAACTTTGAGAGCCATTTATATATCTTTGAAAACTTAAACCCACGCAAAGTCCTTTTCTTCCCACACCTTCAATTCTTCTGGTAGTTTTTAATGTCAATAACCAATTAGTTATTTTGATCTTAATTCGAGCCTAAGTGACAAAAATCTACTACTGGATTTTCATTAGGCATTTTTAATGCTCCGATCACTGAAGATGAAAAAGAATTTTGCATTTGCTTGCGTTTTTTTCAGACCAAAATTAGCTATTATAAAGGCACGTAACGGGAGATCGAGCGTCATATCATACTAAAGACTATTCAGTCGTATTTTGGGCTGCAAGAATGATTAAAATTTCCGAATTAGAAATCTTATAATATCGTTTTTGGGTGATTGCCTTATGTATTACAATTGCATGGAAACTGAGAGTAGTTCATTGGCAAACAAGCAGATGGCCATTTAGGTCTCTGACTGGTACGATATGCTGCCTCGTTTCTACTACCTGGACAAGACATACATGGCCCGCTTCTGTGCCCATCTGGCCAGGGGTGCCACAGAAGAGGGGGACTTGTTCTGTCGACACCTCTTCTATCACTGCGGAAATCTCCTCGGAAGATCAATTGTAGCTGTCAGTAACAGGGCAAACCCAGTTAGTAAACCCTTTCTCAGTACTCATACTCGGGTCGAGATAGTCGACTTATATTCTGGCATTCTCCGCCAACATTGAGAATGCTACGCATGACTTTCTCTGCCATTTTTTAGTATGTATAGAAAAAATGCTCGTTAAAATTCGAAACTTAAGTCGAGCACCTCGACTAGGGAACCGAAATAATCAGCTTTTTTTTTGATCTCATGATCTAACTATGTTTGTATGACAAAAAAGTAAAACCATTACGAGATCAAACTGTGTACTGGATATCTGCACATTTTGGTGCGATAGGAATCCTGGAATCCGGATAAAAACCATTAAATATGTTCCAAATTGTAATAGATTTTTGTTACAAAGTACTTGCTGAATACAAACCCAATTACTTTTAACGTAAATTTGCCGGTACAATAACTGTGTAAATGAATTCCGCAAATTCAAGCGGATCGCGCAGGTGCAAGTGAAGCCCGCTTAAATTTTTATACAGGTTCCGTTCAAAAACGGTTTTAAATGTAGAATAGTAAAAAAAAATTCATTCGTGACTTGGAATTCAAAACAAAAGTATTAAAAAGTATACTTATTGTCGCAGATTTAACTATAGACTCAAGGTCCACATTTTGAGGCTTTTTAAAAAACTTGCGCTGAACAAAAAACTATTTTTTTAACGCATTTTCAGAAAACAACACTGAACAAAAACTTTTCCAATCTAAATTTTTTGTGATGTTTACTATACTTCACTGTACTGTGGACTCAAAGTCCACATTTTTTAGCGTTTCATAAAAATAACAATAAACAAAAAAAAACTTTTCCAATCTATTTTTCTTGTGAATTATTATACTTAAGTTATTTTACCTGATTCTTATAGCTTTTTAATATAATCGCTCCGTTTTTTGAATCAGAAATTTATTTTCAAAATTATTGAAAAGATAAATGAACATTCTCTGCTATTTTAACATCAATAACCTACTTGAAAAAACGTACTTTTAATGATACATTTAACTTACTTCAGAGCATCTTCTATGATGGGAAGAGTGTTCAGGTGCTTCTGGTGGGCAGTGTTTTCAACAGTTTCCATCTACTCAAACAAGGTGAACAATTTAGATATCAAAAACAATTGATGACTTAACTTTGCTCTGCAAGTAAAATCTATGGCATAGATTTTGTTATATACTGTAAATAAAATCAGCGGACAAAAAATACAGAGGTGCCATCATAGATTAAACACATGAAAACTTTATCGATAAACTGTTTTCAAAAACTATGAGCAAATTGGATCGGTGTGAGTTTTCACGAACGTGGATTCGCAGAAAAAAAATTGCTGATTTTCAAATTTAAGGCTGATTTTCAAATTTATTCCCTGACATTTTAATTGAAGGCAAGTTAGGTGATACAAAAACAAAATAGGCACATAAAAATGAGCTAAACTATTTTCAAATTGAATTACCTCAAAATTTGGGGAAGATTTTTTTCTGTATAAGTTTCATAGACGGCGCGTGAAAATGAACTAAACTATTTAACCATTCCAGTTACCAGCTGAAATTGTTTCTCCGAGACTGTTTTTTTTGTGTTCTAGGTTTCATAGACGGCATGCGTCCCAAATATAGTGAGGATGTAACTCTCACGGGCGTGCGATTTGTGCGGTTGACAGTGCCCAGTGCTGTGGGTGCAGCGTACATGGGTATGGGCATCCACAAAGAGACGCCCGCTTACCCCTTGGACATAGACTACTCTCTAAATGTAGAGACTGTCTACGAGACCAAACTCAACCAAGATCATCACTCTCAATCCAAATGAAAAAGCCCAAAAATAACAAATTATTTCAGACAACGAGCCAAAAATAAAGGATCAGATTGACAACTGCCATACTGCTAACGCCGTTTTGTATTTAAACACGCTCTTCACAGAGCCATGGCCGAACTTTGGGTGGTTTGTCAAGGACCCATTGTTGATTCGGAGCATATATTTTCTTTTGTACACGAGGTAGCCTCTTCACATGCGCTTATATCAGATACATGACCATTAATTGTAAAACGTCGATTTAATTTGTAAATTGAAAAATTAAATTTTGGTTTAACTTATTTTTTACGTCAAAAAATGGGTGCATTTACAAAACAATCCCATACAAAACAGTCCAAGACAAAATATTCCAAAAAATCATGTAACGAAGGAAAAAAAACAGTCCGGCTTAAGGTCGCCAGTGAGCGCGCTGCCCTCGCCGCTTTGCATCGATAACCGGCTCTAAATTTTGTATTAAGTCCTACCCTCTGTTGGCGAGCTCGCAACACGCTGGCGCGACTGCGGCGGTCACTAGTTTTTTAAAATGTTTGTTGAACAAAGGACAATTCTCGGCCTACCGGCTTGTTAAAACAATGATTACTAGGGACTGTTTTTCGGACTGTTTTGTATCGGACTGATTTGTGTGGGACTGTTTGAACAGACACAAAAAATGAATGTATCAATTAAAAAAAAAACAAATATTGTTCTGATATTGTAGCATTTTCGGAAAAAATATTTTTTTCTTGTAGCATTTTTGGAAAAAAATGATTTTCGGTGTTTTATTTTATAAAAATTATGAATGACCTTGCATTACATATAAAATTGAATAAACTATGAATGCATTTGCTTTGTTCTTATTGGTATGTGGATTGTTTTGGCTTCTCTTTTAAGGTCTCCATTAGAAACTTCGCCAAAAAATCAATTTCAAAAAATATTCGGTCAAAAACTTCAAAATGAGTCAACTTATAGACTATCAAAAATTTGGGATCTACTTAACAATCTCTCCCCCTATCAAGAAAGGGGGAGATTGTTAAGTAGATTAATTGCAGCGAATTTTCGACCAATCAGAATGCAGCAAAATTTGAGTTTACATTCAACGCTCTAGTGCGAACTTAATGTTTTTATTTACAGTGCTGGCGATTCTTCAGTAGATACGTTAGAGGAGGGGGAAATAGATTGTTAAGTAGATCCAAAATTAGGTAGGGACTTTTCAGTGTATAAGTTACCAAATTCATAGATATTTTTTTGGTTCGAACAACTTGATTGAACGAGCTCACTGGAAAAGCAAAAAGGTCATGTTCTTATAAAAAGTGTTAACCAAAAACTGTGAACCAAAAACTGTGAACCAAAAAATGTGAACCAAAAACAGTGAACCAAACACTGTGAACCAAAAACTGTAATACAGCTATAAGTATTGAAGTCTACCTCTTACTTCCGGCACTAATAGTATGGTGTGCGTGAGTATATGCAAAAGGAGTCGTCCAAATGCAGGTTTCGTTCCAAAACCCAGGAGCTTTCAGGCCATACGAAAAACAAGTATGACATGATAATCGGTGATCTATTGTGTTGAGTGTTTGTCGTGGATTCGAAAAATAGGTATAATTAATTAAGTCTGGTTTTCCTAATCCAGTTAATTTCGGTCAGTCAATGACAATACTCTAAAATTTTTGAATTCCTAAAAAATTTTGATTCGTGAGAATGTTAATAATCCTATTGGAATCCTATTTTACATCTAGAACAACTTTTCGTTCGCAAATAATATGCTAGAACATATGTATATATTTTTTGATCAATAGTTAATGTCTTCATGTCTATGTGCGGCACTTTTTTAAACAGCAAAAAAAGCAAGCGTAAAACCGATTGGTTTTTCATTTTCGTTGTTTCTTTTGAATTTTTGATTTAGACTACTCTAGTTGCACCATGTTAAAAACTGGAAGAATTTCAGTCATTTTTCATGCATATTTGTTCCGACTTTCGGTACGAAAGTAACGGAATATTTGTGCTCGGGGTGGGTTTTTTTTTCTTCAAACAAAGTTCGACTTTTTAACTAGCCATTTTTGACGGAATTTTTTTTTATCATTCAAAAAGTATTGTTGTCCTGAGCCTAAATTTGAAAAGATATTTCACCTGTGATCATTTTTCGTAAAGTTATGAGGGTTTAAAGATTGCCATTTTGGCCATTTTGACCAATTTGGGACAATTAACGCGCGATATAATTCGCGCTATTAACTCGTAAGCGGAGATTTAATCCGTCTTATAAATTGTTCCAAGTTGGTTGAACGAAGCTTATTTGCCATAATTGATTTGTTACAATGAACGAAATCTCTCTTTTTGTACTTTCTCAGCATCTCAGAGAAACCTGGGTCAGTGTGCTTGCCATCATTGGAACTCAGTCAGCTACCTTCGGACAATCTGATCAGCAGTCATTGCAACCACGAAATTGTCCGCGGTAAACATACGAAATCAAAAAAAAAATGAAAACTGCCATGGCTTATCAGGGTAATTCTTTCTAATGGAAGACATATTGCCTCTAAAGTTTTGATCGAAGACCATAACTGTATTGTGGGAGTGGTCTTCAAAAGGTTATACACCAAAAAGTTTGCGTTAAAGCTCTCTAAAAAAGGGTTCTCAGTCGACAAACTGTCGTGGTTGGGCTCTGACGTTGATGAGTCAGGCTATCCGTCAGAACAATAGAAGACTAAGTCAATCTTAAACTTAATTCCGCCAAAGACACTAGAGCAACTGCTATTATTAGAGGGAGCCTTAAATCTGCAATTTCAGTCTGCAATTTAAACCCAAATCTGCAAACTTATACCGAACATTCGGACCTTCACTAAAGAGAAAAAACAAGTAGAAACTCACTTAGTCGGAAAAGCAAACCGTGGTTTTCAAGAAAATACTCGTGGAAATAGTTACAATAACAAAAATAAGTCACTATGATGCTTCCAAGCGCTTCAAGGTAAAATTTTACGCAAGTCATAAGTCTTTGGAGAAGCGTTTGAACAAGAAGTGGAAGAAGATGTTTTCTCAATCAGCGAGAGCAAAAGTATCATAAAAATAATTGGAAATGTTAGCTTTTGTTTGAGTAATTGTTCCGACTTTCGGTACGAAAGTAACGGAATATTTGTGCTCGGGGTAGGTTTTTTTTTCTTCAGACAAATTTCGACTTTTTAACTAGCCATTTTTGACGAAATTTTTTTTATCTTTAAAAAGGTATTGCTGTCTTGAGCTCAAATTTGAAAAGATATTTTACCTGTGATCATTTTTCGTAAAGTAATGGGGGTTTAAAGATTGCCATTTTGACCAATTTGGGACAAATAACGCGCGATATATTTCGCGCTTTTAACGCGTAAGCGGAGAGTTAATCCTTCTTAAAATTGTTCCAAATTGGTTGAAAGAAGCTTATTTACCATAATTGATTTGTTACAGGGGCGAAATCTATCCTTTTGTACTTTATATGGCGTGTTGGGGGATGATTTTTTATCAAAAACTTCAAATTTTAGAAGAAAAAAAATATCATTTTATTTCATTACATTCAATTTTTTTATGTTATTACTGCTCCATAAAACTTTAAAAGGCAGTCGGAACATTCAGGGCTTTGCCCTGATACGAACAGTATTGTCTGTTTTTTCATTGCTTTGATTTCAGCAGTGCGCAAACTGCGCGAGTTCAGTAGTATTCAATGAGCAACGACGAATTAGTGATATTAAGCATTTAACAAGAAAATTCAATTTCACAAAGAAGCATACTTATTTGTCTAAAAATTTTTATTGTTCCGACTTTCGATACGAAAGTAACGGAATAACTGTCATCTGGTGGGTTTTTTTTCTTCAGACAAATTTTTTAACTAGCCATTTTTGACGGAAATTTTTTTATATCATTCAAAAAATATTGTTGTTCCGAGCTTAAATTTGAAAAGAAATTTCACCAGTGATCATTTTTCGTAAAGTTATGAGGGTTTAAAGATTGCCATTTTGGCCATTTTGACAAATTTGAGACAATTAACGCATGATATAGTTCGCGCTATTAACGCGTAACCGGAGATTAAATCCGTCTTATAAATCGTTCCAAATTTGTTGAACGAAGCTTATTTGCCATAATCGATTGTTGCAAGGAACGAAATCTCTCTTTTTGTTCCGTTTTTCGATACGAAAGTAACGGAATATTTGTGCTCGAGGTGGGTTTTTTTTCTTCAGACAATTTTCGACTTTTTAACTAGACATTTTTGACGGAACTTTCTTACATCATTCAAAGGGTATTGTTGTCCCGAGTTCAAAATTGAAAAGATATTTCACATATGATCTTTTTCGTAAAGTTATTGGGGTTTAAAGATTGCCATTTTGGTCAATTTTGGAAAATTAACGCGCGATATAATTCGCACTAGAAACGCGTAAGCGGAGATTTAATCCGTATTAGAAATGATTCCAAATTGTTGAAAGAAGCTTAATTGCCATAGTGGATCTGTTACTAGTGAAGAATTTATTGTTTTGTACTTATATGGCGTGTGGGGTGATGGTTTTCAAAGAAAAATTCCAAATTAAAAAAAAAATTTCCACTTTATTTTATTTCATTTAATTTTTTTATGTTGATCATGTTATTACTGCTCCATAAACCTTAAAGGGCAGTCGGAACAATAGGGGCTTTGCCCTGATACGAGCAATCTTGTTTGTAATTTGCTTCCAGAGCTAAGCACACAATAAACTTAAAAGTTACAATTGAAACGAATCATTGGGTTTTCATTTTTTCAGCACCAACAATTCAGCGTATATATTTTGATCTCCGATGACCGATGATCAAGTTGGTATCTTCACTTTTCTTTTTTTTTTGGTTTCGACTTTCAGACAACTATTAAATGCGTACCTTTTTTCTAATCCCATTTGTTTTTTTAGAATTTTTTTAAAAGATTTTTACTTTTTTGTATATTGCTGGACATTGCATAGCTGACCGCAAGTGACTAATCAAATGCACGCAAACTTTCAAATCCAGACAGAATTCACGCTAAGAGAGGTGTTCAAAAAGTGCACTGTTTCTTTTAATATGCTTGAGTTGATTGCACCAAACAAAGTCTTGGGTAAAAATAGATTATAATTCGAAAACCATGCAAAAAAGGTTGCCATCATAATCAACAATATATAACCAATTAAGGCAAAGTTTTCCATAGTGATAGCAAGGAAAATGTATTATACCTCTCTATGTCTGTAAATGTGCTTGGAGGTTTTACCCACTCGCGGAATGGGTGTTATCATGGAGAGGGGTCATATTTTGAAGCAACAAAAAACAACCTAAGTTGGACTAGGGATAGTACTGCGAAAAAAAGTGAAAACAAAATAAAAAGACAAAAAATGTTTCTCTTGACATAATGCAACTGTCAATTGTCGGACAACTTTCAGCAAGAAATGATTATACTTTTCTAATTTATCATCAAGGCGGATTTAGGGGGGGGGGGGGGAGGAACGGACGCCCCCCCTCAAAAATTCGACCCCTGCCGGCCCAAAGGGTCCCCTTTTTGGTACTTTTTAAGAAATCCATTTTTGGCCGACCGATTCTAAAATGTTTCTAAAGGCGCCTTTTCCAAAAAGTGCCAAAAACGCCTTTTTCGACTGTTTTTTCAAAACTTTGCCTACGGCGCAGAAATTCTGGCTAAAACAGGGACTAAACTATGCGTAGGGAGAGCTCAAAAATCAATTCGGTCGACCTAAAAAAAAGGTCGACAAAATTTCGAAAAAATTTTTAAAATCCACCTCCTCCCTCGAGAAAATCCTAGATCCGCCCCTGTTTATCATAATCCATTATATGTTCTTAATTGTGTAAGAAAATAGAAACATAGTAAATCATTTTTACTCAGCTATAATCTATAATTTTTGAATAATAAAGAGCCAGCAATGAAAATCTGAAACCATGTATTATGATTAAGCTGTAGACTTACAGTGCTGATTTAAATTATCCAGAAAAAACACATAAAAATTTAAAATTCAAAACGCGTTTTTCTAAAAAAAGGTTTATTTTTAGACAAAAAGTAATGAGGACAAAAGTTGCTTAGAATTTGAGCAGAACTATTATGGTGCAATTTTTTTGCTAAAAAAATTATTTATCGGGCCCGAAGTTTTACTCCGAATACGGATCATTTTAGAATTTTTTTAGTTCATTTAAAAATTGCAAAAAACTACACAATCAAATACTGTCAAAGTTAGTTCAAAGTGAGCCCCTTTATGTGGCCCAAAAATTTCAAGAAGGGTATACTCGTCAAAATTTTTATTTTTGTTTGATAGCCAAAATAGTCATTTTTACTATATAAAAGCCATTAATTTCTTTCAAAAACATTTTTTTAACGTTTTTGCGCAATTTTTGGAGACCATATTTTTCTTAAACTTTGTTGGGTCACGTAAAAAGTTTACTTTGATAGGGCTTTAACAGTAATGAATCCGTAGTTTTGGTGTAATTTTTAATTGAATAAAAATGTCTAAAACGATCCGATTTTGTGGTAAAATTTTGGGCACGAATTTTGCAAAACACATTGCACCATAATGATTCTTCTAAAACTCTAAGTAAATTATTTATTCATCATTTATTATCTAAAATCAACCCAATTCGAAAAAAAAATGTGTTTTAAATTTCATCGTTTTTTTTTCATTTTGTCCGAATAATTTAAATCAGCACTGTAAAATCGTCAGACAATAAATAAGAATAAAAGAAACTTTGTAGGAGTGCAACTGGGCTTCTATTGCACGATTTCTTCACTCATATTTTGAAAAACTTGCTTGTCACCGAACATTGAAATAGTTTTAAAAAATTTAATTCCCTCAATTAATCAAGTGATTTTGGAAATTGAGGTTTAATTATTTTTTTTGTTTCAGTTAGTAATGAATTTAAACAAATGTCTACGCCCCCCTTGTATCGCTATGGATTGGATTTCACACAGCTCGTTTCAATTAAATATCGTCCAAACCTGTACAAATTTCAAGTAGCCGTGAACTTAGAAATCATATTTGCTCCTAAATTTTAGACTAGGTTGCTCCATAATTGAGTTCACGTGAAAATTTCCATAACCATCAAAAAGACAACAAAACGAAAGTGTGAACAGATGAAAAAAGACTATTGAAGTTCAAAATTAGACTCATAAAAAGTATTTTTCACACTGAATAAACTGTTAGCTGACCTCACTAAATCTAAATAAATATAAATATATTTCAATATAAACACACTAAACTGCAAAAAATTCCATATAAAAGGAACACCAATAGCAAAATTTATCATATGAAATCAAACCTGTTTGTTTGATAGTTGCAATATTTAGTTTCGATAGAACAAAATTTACAGAGACAAAGATCATAAACTGTTTTATCCGCTCGTTCAGTTGCCACAAACGCATTCTGTTTGACAGTTGCAATATATTTAACTTTGTCAACCTATTACAAAAATACCACATAAACCATGACTTGCATCGGGTCCATCTTGTCATATACTGCATCTGTTTTGATTTTCGTACTTCAAATTGAAGCCTCGTCCGCATCATTTTATGACTTTCTTAGCAGGTAAAAGCAAAAAAAAAGAAAGCAACATTTTCAAAACATTTTTGAAAAACCCAAAACTGAGTTTTCGACTCAATTTACCAGATGTCCGTACCAAACTCGTGTTTTGGAAAAAAAGAATGGAATCTATTCTATTTTCTTCAAAAATCTCTTCAAAAATGCGCGCTATTGAGCTGTTTCTGTGGCTCAAGAAAACGCGACAATACCATATAGTTATTAATAAAGCGTAAACTAGTTGTCTAATAAAGTAAACAGCTCATATGTTGTTGGTTCCCTGTCTGAATTAATTGGTTCACTAAATTGGTTCTTGAAAAAAAATACAAATCCATTCTGTTTTTCAGTCATGGCAGCAACAGAGGTCACGGTGGTCTAGACTGGTGGGGGGACAGGACGACTCTGTTGAGAAGGTCTCTCCTCCGCGCATCCCTCAATGAAGTCAGCCTGAAAAGGGAGAGCAAACATGGTCATGGATATGGTCACATATACCTGCAGGAAGGCATGACTGCTACATTGAAGACCAGCAGCTGTGGTGAGTTTCCGGCAGCAAAATATAAAATAGACAATTTCGGATATTTGACAGTCGAGTAAATTCCCCTTCATTAAAAAAAAACAAAAAATTTTCCATACTTCTGTGTATGATATTTGAAAAACATAACTTCGGGTAGCTCTTGTTTTTGGAACTGAAGTCTTTATTTTTTAACATTTAAGTTGGGGAACGAATGTTTTTGAAAAAAAATCCTGAAAAATGCGGGGGTATGAAAATTTTATAACTGCCGTTGTTTTAAATCTAATTAGTATTTGTGTTTCTGCTGAATTTTAATTGTTACGAAGATATTTTTCAAGAAAATGTGTTGTGCATTTCAGATTCAGAAGGAGTTCCTGGAGATGACAATGCAGTGTTGGTGTTGAACCCCTGCAAGACCGAGCCCAACTCGCCCCAGTGCATTTTCGAGTCAGCAAAGAACTACACACTCAAGATAGACTTCGAACCAGGCAAGCTATGAGTCACTGTCACTTCTTATATCTCAATGAGTTGGTAAAACACAAAAACTCTTCAGTTCAATTAAAAAGAAAGATGTTGAAAATGCGCCACGGTTGAATATTTAAAAGAAAAAAAATTTAAGAGAAATTAAAAGAAAAAACAAAATTTCGCCCCAATTTTTGCCCCCCCCCCCCCCCCTCAAATAATTAAATCTTAAAGTATTAATAGTTACTTTTATCAAATAAATGACGTGCTTGTTTCAGTTCGTGAACTAGTCAGTCCCCGAATTGAAGTCTCGCTCATTCTACCTCAAAACAAGTCACAACAGCAACTAGAACAGGCACCTGGCTTAGCAATAGGGGAAGAGTGGGGGGAGGAAGTCGCCCTGGGTGTCACTGAAGAGGGGCTAGTGTGTGAAGGGGGCATGTTGAGTTACGGGAAGTGTCCTCTGATGCCCCGATATGTGTATGAGATTAAGACCATGTTGACAGTCCCACTCCTCTCCATTGTGGTAAGTGAGAAAATGAAGAAAAAAAAGATTAAAATTTCAAAAGGCCCAACTTTTTTGCGTTTTCTTTTTCCAAATTAACATCGAAAACGTTTCCAAAACACAAAAGTTGAAGGTAAGAATTAATAAAAGGAATGGAAAATAAAGTAGAAAGGTTAAGTTAAATGTATTCATTTTTTCTAATATATTTTGAACCAGATTATACTTTTTTTTCAAAAAGTTGAATCTCTCAAAAAATATCAAAACACTTGTGCTTTGAGTCTATTGTTATGCTTTGATCATAAGTCTCAGATTTAATTTCAAATCATTTTCAGATTACGGAAGAAGTTAAGCTGGCCATCCGAATAACGGGCTTAAAAAAGAACCCAGAAGTTGTTGATGACACTACGAGTGATGGTGAAATTGAACCAGCGCGGGAAGAAGTGATGTGTCTCCAGGCTAAAGTGCAGTTGTCCAACCCCCTCGAACAGTACCTGTTGCAACACAGTTTCACACAACTCCCCATTCTTCCGTCCGACCCCATCCTAAACGCGGAGATAGAATCGGGCGAGAAATAGATGAACTGACACCAAAACTACATTTAAATTATTCAGTTTCAATTCGATTCAGTTTCAAAGTTCAGCTAATTTATATTTGTGTGCAACAAACTGCCATTTTATTTTTGGCTGCAGGAATCATATCGACAAAACGGTGCATTAAGATGGCAGTCTTAGGATGGCAGCCTTAGGATGATAGTTATACGTCATAAGTATGATCAATACCTTTCCAGGTCTTTTTGTATGATATAAAGTGTCTAAGGCGAAATTCGAAATTGTTATGTGTTTGCCGTTTCGAATAGTTCAAACTTCTTACATGACAGGAGAGGGTTGACTGCTTGATTTAATTCCTTTTTCTAGGAAGGCGTAAAATTACAAAAACGTTTTTTGTCTTGCTTTTAGAACGATCACAATGGATATAATTCAAAAGAAAACATTTTTTAAATAATGTAGATTCAGAAATTCTCCTTCTATTATTTAGCTAAGAGTTCTATAAAAAATAAAGATAAAGATAAAGCATCTTGAGAAAAAAAACTACAGGTTTATTCGATATTATATACTGTATGTTTTATATATAACTCAAACTTCCGTAAAAGCAATTAAAAATTTATCATATGATTGAAAAATTTCTTAGGAAGTAACAAAGCATTAGCTTTTTTTTAAAAATTCACCTTAAATAAGGTGAATTTATAAATAAGGTGAATAGGGTTATCATATCACAGGCGCACCCTATTCATTTTTTTTCTCCGATGGGAAAGTTTTTGGCTTTAAAGTTTTTTGCTGTCTTATATTTGAGCCAACAATTCAGTTTGTTTTTCCATCTAACCTATAAAACTGGATCTATTGCACAAAAAAATGCACTTTTTTTCTATAAAAAAACTGTTGAAAAAATGATAATACGTGGAAAAAAAATTAAAAATATGACTTGAAAACTCGGGTCGAAGCTAACGGAATAATTGTGCTCGTGGTCGTTTTTTTTCTCTACACAAATTTCGAATGTTAACTCGCCAATTTTGATATTTTTTTATATATTAGCCAAAAGTTATTGTTGTCTTGAGCTCAAACTTCAAAAATTATTTTACCTGTGATCATTTTTCGTTAATTTATTTTGGTTTAAAAATTACCATTTCGGCCAATTTGGGACAATTAACGCGCGATATATTTAGCGCTATTATCGTGTAAGCGGAGATTTAATCCGTCTCAGAAATTGTTCCAAATGGTTCCCCCCTTTTTAACTCTGAACAACTTAACACCCTTCAATTTCACTTCCTACTTTTTGTTGCCTTAGCTATTTAACATCGCTACATTTTAAAACAATTTCTATGACTTAACACCGTTTTAATCCAAAATGAAAAAAAACTTACTTCAAAGGGAATTTCGGTAACCATCAAAGAATTATACGAGAGAAACTTTTGCCATTTAAAGCCAGACAAATTCGCGCTACTTAATTCGCGTAAGTTTTGAACAGAAATGACCCTGCAAATGATTTCAATGAAACGTTTCAAACCAAAATGAAATGGCTTGGCCAATACTTTCAATGAATATTTTCAATGATTTTCAATATCTTATAGAATAATTTTAATGACGCTAAAAAAATTGGCTTGTTTTTAGATGAAACTGTGAACTCGAAAGAAGACTCAGTCATAATGTGTTTATTGTGTTTGCGTTTGTTTATCACCTTAGTAAAGTATAAAGGGAGAGTCAGAATTTAATTTTTGTCAAAATTTTTACGTCAAATTGTTATGAATTAGCACAAGCAGCTATTTTTAATAATCATAATGGTTTAGCGAAAAGTCTAATTGAAAATAAATTATAAACTTGTAGATAAGAGTCTTAAGTAAATTAGGAAGCCTCCTTTTAGCATGTATAACTAAGATAAGCCAAGTTTTTCATTATGGTGCATGTGTTAACTGCAAGGTTAACTTTGGTGTGATAAGAGTTAAGATAACGAATTCATACAGCATTAATTTTAATAGCGAAATGACTAGGTGTTAAAATGTACTGTGTTAAACTGGAAAATAGGAGTTATATTGTTGTCGATTTAAATTGTTTAGGAGTGAAATGACTAAGTGTTAAAATGTACGGTGTTAAATTGTATGTCATTAAATTGTAGAACACCGTTCCAAATTGATTACAGGGAGCTTATTTGCCATAAATGATTTGTTTTTAGGAGCGAAACCTATCACATTATGCGGCGTGTGTAAAAATGATTTTAACAAAAAATCTCATATAAAAAAATATAATTTTATTTTATTACATTTGTTTATTTCATGTTAATACTGCTCCCTAGTTCCTTAAAAGGCAGTCGGAACATTCAGGGATTCGCCCTGATACGCGCAGTCTTGTTTTATTTCATTTCAAACAACTACTGAATGATTGTTTTTTCATTTAATTCATAAAACCGGATAATTTCCTTCTCAACTGGCTATTTTTTTTTCAAACAAACTACTTTAATTCTGGTTGCAAACATGAAAACTCGGGTCGAAGTGAGCATTTTAAGCATCGAATTTAAAAATCGAGCACAATGCCAGTGCTCGACTGAAAAAAATAGTAGAAAGAGGGGTTTGATATAGGCACAAACTCAATTAAGTACCTCACAATCACAATCACAATCATAACAAGCCTAGAGCATGGCTGAAACTTCTGCGAATGTGGTCGAACACAGCCCATTTTGGAAAACAAAAAAAATCGGTTCTACGACTTTTATCTTAAGAAGTAATTTTTGAGGTGCGTAGCTGATGTTAGATAACAATATTCTATCAAAAATTGCTATAAAAACAAGCTATATTAATTGCGGAAAAATGATTTCAACCACGAAAATGCTTTTAGTTAGGTATTTCTCAAAATTTCTGAAATACCAAAACTTTTTTGTTTTGGACTCAAGGGAATGTCATATTCCTTATGAGATGAAAAGAGTCCATCAGAATTCTTTTTCATCTCTATCGCATACTTGAATTGCAATTGAGTTCAATAATTTAAGAAATCAGTCTCAGAATTTACCTGAAAAATATGAACTTTGGCTTTGAAGGTTGTAATGTTCAGTTAGTTGAAATTCGAAACATACCAAAATTCGATCGAGCACGGTTGAAAAACACGGGCATGCTTGTAACATATCTTGGGCTCTATTGAAACCTCTTTGATTTTGACTAAACCCTAATATCGTCCAAGTGTCTAAGACTTATTCTAATTATGAAGAGAAGCGCATACCATAATAAGGTTTTTTGATCCTGTTCATAGTGCTTGCGGCTAATAATATCCATTTACTGTTTTGGTAGAGCTGGAAAATTTAATTTGGTCGATCTGAAAAAAAGTCGAGAGAAAGGTTTTTCTTCTCACATATCAAAGATTGTTGTTCGAACTGAAGCAGTCCTGTTTCCTAGCAAATATTAGTATAGTCACGGGACATAGTCGTAGCAACGTTTAGTTTTCAAGCGATAAAATGAACAATTTTTTTTCCACATTTGTGCCGCTTTCTCTACAGCTGCTGAAAATTTACGTTTCAAATTTTGACTTATGATAGAAGAAAATTTCCAGATTATAATCAGATTTTTGATTAAAAAAAAACATTTTTGTTTACCAGATTACCTATAAAAAACTGTACGAAATGGCGAGCTCTTTTTATATGAAAAGAAACCTAAATGAGGGCCTAGCTTAGATCTGTCGCATTCCAACGAACTCTTTTCAGGTCAAAGTTTTGAATTGCTTCTGCTGTTATAGGGGCTGCTATGGAGACCTTTTGAAACAAGAACACCTATCTAACGCCCCCCTGATTATATAACCAAATAATGTCTTTAAAACAGCTTTTTACGGTTTTTTATCCGGCTAAAACAGAAAAACAATTTTAACCATCATATGTCAAAATTTCAATCATGAATTTTAAGATGTCGTAGAGAAAACGGCACAAACATGGATAAAAAATGGTTCATTTTTATCGCCTCTGTAGTATTGAGAAAATACTACACAGACAGAAGACCATTGTCTTAATTGTTTACTTAACGACCCAATTCTAAATTGGAGCGTGCCATTTAAATTAAAGCCTCTTTTCACTAAATCAGATATTGACTGATTTACTCTTATTAGGACTATAAAGTCTTGTTTTGAAAATTCATTCCTTTTTAAATACTGGTCCAATTTTTCTCATTTTTTCATGCTCAATATTTTAAAAGGGCGGCGATTATTAATACGTCCCTTTTAATTTAACTTGAAACAAACTGGATAAAAATTTAGCAGTCTTGCCGGCTGCACTGAAATTCTCCTCGCTTTGATTAAGCAGAGATGCACCTGCAATATGATGCATCAAAGAGAGTAATATGAATTTTTAATCAGACAAACTGAAGGCTGCGGTTTTTATCAAAGGGGACTAATAAGTTAAAGATATTTGATTTGAAAAAATCAAATAAAAGCTAGCTGAAAATTCCCTTATAAGAAAGGGAGAACAAAGGATCAGGTGGAACCTGAATAATTAAAGATTGAATCAGCCGCCGGTTTATGCTTACGAGCAAAAGGACTGGCCTGAAATCTTCGGAGTTTCATTTTGCTCAGTAAGAAGCAAGTTAGATCTCTTCAGTCAGACCTTTTCAAAATGAATAATTTTTCTTTTCTGCCTTTATAATAAAATGAAACTAGCCTTTTTTCACAAATAAAATAGAGAATAAATTCCCATTTAAAGTTCGATAAAATTATAAATCGAGATACTCGAGAGACCCACACCTGAGGAAGTCTGGACTACAAGTACCCAAAGGACTACGGCAAGACGATACTGACGACCAAACCAGAAGTGCCAAAGTGGACACAATCAAGGGCGACCCAAGAATACCAATCAGTCATCGACCTTAGTAAGAAGATAAAATATTGATGAACAAAATAAGATTAACTCAACCTCCCCTCATAGGTATATTTCTTTAAGCTGTTCGATTAGTTTATATAATCTAATTACCCGGTGCTTTGTATTTATCCAACTAATTAATTCATACCTTTTCTAACTATTGTTTCTACTCTACTTTTTGTCAAGACAATTTGACGATTTAAGGTGAGACTTATAACTTAGGATAAACTTACTAAGCATTCAACCAGCAATGAGCGCTTAGTAAAACTGGTGCGACCGCAGCAGA